TATATATATATACTTGTTAAATATGTAAAATAGCTTAGTGTGTCTTCTTTCCTGGGATATTTGCATTGGACACAAGAACAGTCAGCAAACACACAGTACAACCTTGGCTATGTAAATATTGAGCACCGTTTAATCTGAATGTTACCATAGCTACTGACATAATTACACAATACTTGCCGGTATTTATACCTTAGTTATAGTAACTTAGTAATCAAACTTTCCTGGCACCCTGGTGTGCCTTCCAGCTTTATCAGGGGCAAATGTTTGCTGATGGGGAGGAAGGGGGCTTCCAATGTGAAAGGAGCACTCGGATGTAAATTAAAAAAAAAATGTTTTCCCTAGTTTATGTTATTAAACATTTATTATTACCCCAATTTTTTGGGGGGTCCCCATACCCACATGCATAATCCAAGCGATTGGGCATCTCTACAGACGCCGGAAAGCTTGTATGTAAACAGCCATCGCTGGCTGTTTACATTTCAAACAGATTTCTTCCCGCTCGTGCCTAACGGAGGGCGCGAGCAGGGCAGGAAAGGTCATCGGAAAAAACGGCCACCCACATTCAGGAAGCTGCCATCCGGTCATTTAATTACAATGGCAACAGGTGGTTAAGCAGCATCAGTTAATTTGAGTTAGGCCCCTTTCACACTGTCCGATCAAGAGGGGATCTGCGCCATCTGAAAGGAACCTTTATAACTTTGAGACTAACTTGCCGGCCTAGATAATGTTTACATTGTTTTTAAGGACATAAAAGGCTTTTATTTGGTAGAATGTTTAAATAAATAGTTTGCTAAGATTTCTTAAGTTGGGCATACACCTTAAGATTTTTCTCATTAAGCCTGGCAGGCTTAACATTGTTGTGTCTTCTTTAAAGTGACATTAAACCCTCAGATTTTCTAACATAAACCAATACTTTAATGTGTGCCTTACTGTAATCCATGGTAGTTTCCCTTCTCTTTGCTGCTCTTCCTTTTAAATCCTTATCTCTTCTCATGCTTGGGGAGAACTTCCCTTTGCAGCTGAGTGCCTCTTCCTGTAGTGCTGGCTCAGGTTGCAAACGTACACACAGACACCATGTAGCCATTTCAGAGACAAGGCAGTCTGCTGCAAAACAGAAGTTCTGCCCAGCATGAGAACAGATACAAATTTAAAAGGAAGAGCAGCAAAGAGAAGGGAAACAACCATGGATTACAGTAAGGCACACATTACAGTATTGTTTTATGTTAAAAAATCTGAGGGTTTAATGTCACTTTAAGAAAAGCATTTCTTTCTGTGCGCACAGACTACATCGACAGCTGTCACTTTTACTGACAGCCGTATACAAACCAAGCCATGTGGTCTCCATGTCATAGCTGACATGGTGATCACATGATTGGGAACCATGCTGATTAGTTCCTGATCTTAACAAGTAATTCCACTTTTGCTGGGGGGGAAAAAGCAATCCCCTCTGGGTGATTAATGTACATTGCAAGGATTTTAGCTAACTTAGTTTCAGTTTCCTACCCGTTTCTGTTCTAAAGAAATGCTGTTTGTTGCAGCATGTCATTTCCATACTGATCCGTGAATGGGAGGGTCTGTGTTCATTATAATCAGCTGGTGGACTTCCTGTGTTGTAACAGGGAAAGGTGCAGTGTCGGCATCCCTTTTGTAGTAATTAACCCTCAAGGAGAATCTCACCAAAAGGGAAATTCCTTTTGTAAGGGATGCCAACAAAATCAGTCAGCCAATCACAGAAACAGGACGTGACATTTCTGGGGGTGTTCCATACACCAAGTGTATACTTAACGCCCCCAGGTCCCCATATTGCAATTCATTTTTGTGGCAGATTTAGAACATTACAATGCCTCAGTTTTAAATGGAAAAGTCATTTTTTAATAACATTGAATTACAACATGGCTTGTGCGACAATTATATATGCTATATTCATTTTTTAAAGATTGTTCATTTTTATCTTTAGAAAGTAGAGTTACCCTATAAATATAGACTGGAGCTAGGAGCATGCAGAGCTACATAGCCCCTAACTCTAAATGGGAACATAGATTAATGTTTCTTCAGTATGAATGAACATAATAACATTATTAGAGATGTCAATCTGGGAGAACAGTTCATAGGGTGATAAGGAAATGTCACACACTGTGGCAAACTCGGGTGTGGGTAAATACTTTAAGGGGTGTGACTTAACATTCACTGTAAAAAGAGGATTTACAAATACATACAGAACAAAAGATGTTGAGCAAGCCTAGGAAGTTGTGCTATGCATTTAGCAAATAAGAACGGATGTGCAGAAACAGTTCTAAGATGCAAGGGAAGCGGTACCATGCAATGACCATACTGGTATAATAACACTGATATTTACACCCAGCATACAAAACATGAGAAGTGCTACTGTGCTGTGTCTATAATTACAGAATAAGAGCAGGTACTTAGAACCACACCCTGCATGCAGAACAAGAGAAGTGGCACTCTGCAGTGTTCATACATACATAATAAGAACAGATACTGAGAATTACACTCGCCATGCACAGTGAAGTGGAAGTGTCATGCTTATATGTCCTCTATATAACAAAATACATACTTCCATGCAATGTCCAAATGTACTGTAAACAGGGGCATGCTGGGGTTTGTTGAAAGCAATATAGAGTGGATCACTGAAAAATATATTGTCTATGTAATGGACCTTCAGTAATATACAGTTACAGTATCTGTATATTGGGTCATATATTCACTAAATACTATATTTTCCTCCCACCATCCAAAAGAAAATTGACTTTAATTAACGCTTATTCTGAGTCAGTGACTCATAAAATTATTTTTCAGAAGGAGGGCAGAAGTGGAAGCCTCCATATTTTTCTTAGAACAGATTTCTTTACAGAGCTACCTAGGTGTGTTAGCAATTACTAAGTCACTAACTGCTAAATGAAGAAGCAATTACTTTGTGAATTAAATAACTTGAAGTGAATTATTTTATAAAGTAATTACTAATTTACAAGCAATTGCTAATTTTTAAAGCAGTGACTCTGACTGCTGGTGAATCTTCTTAGGACATGTGTTTAAAATGGCAGTGATTGATTCACCACCAATAAATGTTGGGTGAAAGGCACATTCGCTGCCTTATAAATATGACCCTAAGTGTCATCTACAATATAATTACATATGCAGCTGGGACAAGATATTCAAATGGAAGAAATTATGTATATTTTACTGTCAATATGAAGTAGAAATGTATTCTCGTAAATTAATAATTATTGTACATTACCTTGTGTGAATCCTGTGAATGTTATATATCCAAAGATTGCGTACTGAAGGCTGATAATCAGTGACATTATCATTGATACATGTGTAATACGGGACCAGCTGCTGATTGTTGCGTTTTCTAAGGATCCATGAATCAGAAAACAGGCATGGTGGCACATAAACACTGAAATAAAGAGAAACTAGTGATTGAGACAATGCAGATTGATGTATTTCAGATGAAAATGAAATGGAAATGAAAAACACTTGGCATTTAAACATACAAAAACATGTGAAAAATGTAAAGTATATAGATAATCCCTCCAAGCAGACGTTGGTGTCCACCCTAGATCCTATTCTCCATTGTTATAAAGACAACCCCCAATCCACATTGTTCCAATATATATTACTTTTCCTTCTAGCTTTGTGTGGAGAAGGATAGGGATAGAAACCTTGTCAGGTTTTATTGCTATATGTTTACCCCTTGGTGAGTCCGTGCAACCAATGTTAGTAAGGGGGGATGCACTAGAACAGGAATCAAGAGTAAATCTTCCAACTGTTGCAATAACAACCTTCTAATAGGGGATCTTTTTATTTCGGAGAGGTATGTTTATGGAGTCCTGTACATTGTCATTTAGCTTTGGTCATGGCAGTTGGATAGACCTAAGAATAGCTGTGAGGGAGCCTTCTGGGGGCCTGTAAACCATCATTTAGCTTTAGTCATGGCAATTGGATAGACCTGAGAATTGCTGTGAGGTATGATTCTGGAAGCCTGTACACCGTAATTTGGCTTTGGTTATGGTGATTGGATAGACCTGAGAATTGCTGAAGGATGATTCTGGGGGCCTGTACACTGTCATTTAGCTTTGGCCAAGGCAATTGTATAGACCTGAGAATTGCTGTGAGGTATGATTCTGGAAGCCTGTACACCGTAATTTGGCTTTGGTTATGGTGATTGGATAGACCTGAGAATTGCTGTGAGGGATGATTCTGGAGGCCTGTACTCCATCCTTTAGCTTTGGTCATGGCAGTTAGATAGACCTGAGGATTGCTGTGAGGGATGGTTCTGGAGGCCTGTACACCATTATTAGGCTTAGGTCATGGTAGTTGGATAGACCTAAAAATTGCTGTGAGGGATGTTTCTGGAGGCTTGTACTCCATCATTTTAGCTTTGGTTATGGCAGTTGGATAGACCTGAGAATTGTTTTTAGGGATTTTGCCTCTGGAACCTCATAGAGATATGTAGTATTTCATTTGCCAGCTGCTATCCCAAATGGAAACACAAGTTTTGGGTAGAGTTAACCTATAACGAGAGAAGCTTACCAAAAGACATTACTCCAACAGCTTGTACCACGTTCCAGTTTGCAAATGCCCATGCATCCTCAGTGTAGGGTCTAGAAGGTGATGAACAAAATTGTTAACCTTTGTTTTACCATGCGGCCCTGTCAGACAAATCCTGAGCACAATAACCAATGTCTGGATTGAGTATATGACTAAACATTGCTTTCTGATTATGTTGAACTTGTACATCATTTCTATATTCACTTTCCCACACGTGAGCTTGAATCTGTCATTATTCACGCTGGAAACTTTTGTAACGTATTCACCAAAGTGCCACACCGCTCAACATAAAGAATCCTATTATTTTTCAATCCGTTCACACCTGAGTGTTGTGTTGCTTGTCACTTGAAAAAGTATACAAGTGTTTTTCTAGGAGAATCACACCTTTTATGGCCCAGATGTGAACTGGGGCTAAAGAACATCCAGTAGATTATAAGCAGCCTATTTACTGGCATGAGGTATGTTCACTATGATTCCGAAAGTTAAAGTTATGTCACCTGAATGCACCACAGACAGAGCAGGCATTTCTTCTTTAGTTATTACTTTTTCTATATGGAATTTTATGAACAGGAAAAAAGGCATTTAACATACATTCTCATGAAAGTTGTGCAACATATAAAAGCGGAGAGGCAGCTCCCTCCCGCCCCCCTGCCAGACACCTGTTTGTGGTTCCCTGGACGGCAGAGCGGACAGCTGCAGCTAGATAAGATATCCCCCGAAAATAAGACTTAGTGTCTTTTATCGTCTTTTTTCGTGACACACGCTCTGTGTCATTCACCCTGCGCAATTGCATGTACATGCGTTCTGTGTGAATGGAGGCAAAAATTAATGTTATTAGAATATTTTCTTTCTAGATCAAATGTAATTTCAGGTAAATACCACTCTATGACCACTAGATGCAGAAGAGAAGCATAGGAAAGGAGTATTTATTTTGCCATCTAGTGGCCATATTGTGGTATTTTCCTGATATTACAATCAACCTGCAAAGAAAATATGTTAATAACATTTGTCTTTGCCTCCATTCACCCAGAATTACTATGTGTTACACTATGGGGTCTATTTATAAAAGTTATTGCACAAGATTCATACAACTTTCACCAAGGATTCACACATTTTTCCAGCTGAAGCAAATTAGAAAAATGCGTGAATCTTGGGTAAAAATTGTGCACATCTTGTGTGAAAAAAAGATTATAAATAGACCCATATGTGTGCAACAGTAACTATGCACTGTACCCAGTAGACAGACGGGGAGGTAGATGAATATTGTGCAACAGGTTCTCTTAAAAATAAAATCCAAAGGCCTGTAATGATTTATTTGGGTCTCCAATCGTCATCTTTGGCTTCCCTTTCTTTGTACGGTTTCGTTAGAGAGGATTTTATGAGAATTATAAAGGAAAACAACCCTCAAGACAATCATTTCCTATCTCCCTTGTCCTTAAGTCCCCCCCCCCGTCAGCCCACACAAACATTCTGCTCTGTGATTCCCAAGATCCCATTTGCAGGGACAGTTTTTCCCACAGTTAGTGAATTATTTGCTTTTGCTGCATTTGTTTACACAGCTATGATGTCAGCTGACTGCTGTGACTGCGATTTAGAGGGAAATGTCAGATACGCAGAGACAGACCAGTCCTTCGGTTCTAACGTACATAACAATGATGCAGAAGACATTCTGTATTTTTTTTTTATTTTCTGGCTGTACAGAGATGTGTGTGCACACAGTATGTCTGTGCATGTCTGTGCATGTCTGTGTGTTTATATAGTGACACCTTTCAGTTTTTCTCAGTTTTTTTTTTTTTTGTTTGTTTTAAATGTCCCCCAGGAGTTGTTAAAAGAAAAATCAGCTTAGGCTCCTGTATTCACATTCAGTTTTGGAGCTGTCTCCTGCAGTACCTCTTTGTGGCCACAGGATGTCCTCAGTCTTCCAGGTTGAATGATGCCCAGCGTTATTCAGCCAGGAGAATCGAGGACTCTACTGTGAATGCAGGGTGTCATGGCTCCACCCCTTGAAGGAGTATCACCACGACACCCTTAATTCACAATTTACTGGTGCGTTAGTAAATACTGCGTAGCCCAGAGAGGAGCTGAAGAGGACCCTGCGACATCATATCACTGTCCTGAGCACTCAGTTAAAGGTAAGCATATAAAAAAGACAACACACAGGGAGACCTTTAGTTAGGTTAGAGGGAGTGGCCTGGGAAGGAGGGGGGAATGTTGATTTGGGCTAGAAATGTAAACTGATTCACCCAAATGTTTGGGAATTTCACCCAAAACCTAGTAGAGGCTTAGAGACCCTTTACTTTTTGTGTCCCCAGTGGGGTAACAATTCCTGTCCTTGTGACTGGTACCCAAGTATGAGTGAGCGATGTGTAATTTGAGCTTCAGCTATTCAGCTCTGGAAACAGCAGGCTTTTTATTCTGTAAAACCTGGTAAACAGGTGTAAAAAAGCCTAGTGCACCATCTGCTGGCTGGAAATTGAAATATGAAATATTAATTTGCAATATTTTATATTTATCTGCCAAAAATTTAAAAAAGGGTTACAAATTAGAAACATTTTTTTTATACTAAAGGTTGTTCATCACTTCTCTTATTGTTCACTGATTGTCTTATGACTTTGACCTGCCTTATCTTTTGAGAATACAGGCTGATGTGTTCTATGGTCCCTGCACTGCTTTCTCGCTGGAATCATTGAAGTCACTGAAGTATGGTCCCTGCACTGCCCTCTCACTGGGATCATTAAAGTCTCTGAAGTGGTCCCTGCACTGCCCTCTCACAAGGATCCTTGAAGTTTTAGAAGTATGGTCCCTGCACTGCCATCTCACTGGGATCATTGAAGTCTCTGAAGAATTGTCCCTGCACTGCTCTCTCACTGGGATCATTGAAGTCTCTGAAGTATGGTCCCTGCACTGCTCTCTCACTGGGATCATTGAAGTCTTTGAAGTATGGTCCCTGCACTGCCCTCTCACTGGGATCATTGAAGTCTCTGAAGTATGGTCCCTGCACTGCCCTCTCCCTGGGATCATTGAAGTCTCTAAAGTATGGTCCCTGCACTGCTCTCTCCCTGTGATCATTGAAGTCTCTGAAGTATGGTCCCTGCAGTGCCCTCTCACTGGGATCTTCCCCCTACCAGCAAGCTCCTTGCAACTTAGCATTCCTGATTGTCTCCTTGTGCTGCTTTTTCCGTCCCCTCTGAGTTTAGTCTGCATACTAGACTGCAAGAGGCTGATACCAGGTCATATTCAGATAATTACACTGCTTGCAAAAATACATTAAGGGCCCATTAACACCAACATCGGAAGGAAACTGTACCTTCCAATCCGTTGCATTGTGATCCGCTATTCAATGGATTCTAATGGAGGGGCACTGAAAAATGAACGGGTGCAAATGGGGTTAGTTCACAAAAATGAGTGCATGTTCTACTTTTTTTCAGCGCAACATAATGTAACATAAGGCAACAGAACCGAGTGGTGTGAACTAGCCCCATTCACAGCCATTTATTTGTCAGTGTCCTTCCGTTAGCATCCGCTGAAAAAATGTATAGTAATGCAAGGGATCGTAACACAAAGGATCCGGTGTGAATGGACCCTTATGTATGTAATGATTACAGAGCCGCATTCATTTGTGTCTTTTATAGCTGCCTGGAGCTCAGCTTTTATTGAGTGAATTTTCTGAGCTCAGAATTGTGACAAAGTTTTCTGTCCAAAATATAAGAGGGATCAATTTACTAAATGGCTGAAGTAATGTAGAAAATGATTCCCTGACAATCACAGTTTGTTGTATAATCTAACATGAGCCGTAAAATCCGGCTTTCATCATTTGTAAATATGTTCTCTGTTTGTGTTACTTTTAACATTTTTGTGGTATCTTTGAAGTTCAGAATCTGAACAAGCTTCTATTATTACGCTGGAAAGCTTCACTATAGAGATAAAACCTGTCAGATGTCGCCCTCTGCTGGAAAGACAACAAACAGCACAAAATTCCTATTAGGTATCAAAATAACACACTGGCGAAGCACTGATTATAAACTCGCCATCAGTGTTGTTTGGTAGAGTTTTTATTTTGCAGTTCTAATTCTTTAGAATAGTGATCCATCGCGACCAATCAGAATTCATCTTGTCTGACCTCGGCAGAGTGAATTCTGGTTGGCTTTCAGGAAGGTTTGCCAAAATCATGAATGGCACAATGTTAGGATATAAATATATGCGGAGGGAGCTAAATAACAAAATGATTTAGGAATGCTGGCACTATTATTTTGTTGTATAATCTATTTTTAACAAGCTTTCAAAATAACAGAATGAGGGAAATTTCTTTTAGTGGTAAAACAAAAATAATCACACAATAACAATAGAATCATGATAATAAAAGGGGAATTTATTATTCTAGAGAACGTTCTAAGACAGTTGGCTTAAAGGAACTGCAAGTATGATTGCCATTTTATCTTGAAGTCGCTCTTTCCCTGACTGAAACTAACTTCTGCTGCCTCGGGGAACAATGCTCCTTCAAAATGTTTAGAGCTTTCAGACAAGAAGAAATGTCCACCATTGGCTTCCAGATCTTGCTGCCTACCATGTCTCCAAATTGGTCGCTATAGGAAGACTAAAGCTCCATTCACACAAGAGCGGTTTACCACACGGCCATACGAATACACGCGGAACTGCTCTAAACATAAAAAATATGCATGTTATTGTGCATTGTTCAGACTATTGCAGCAATTTGGTCGCTCAAAATAGTCCAGGCATGATTTCAGGGACGGATTTTGCATGTTCACAGCTATAGTATAGCCTCAAATGAGCGGAATCCGTGCAGATGTAAAGATTTTATCGTTTTCGGGCTGTGTGGTTTTCCCCGCGGAAAACCACGAGGGAAACACAAACACTATACTGTATGTGAATGGAGCCTTAGGACAAAAAGTGCTCCAGAGCTGGCCACTCCCAAAAACTATAAAGCAGAAAAGTATTTTTCATACACTTGAAAGGTAGCTGTCCTGGTACCCCAAGTACTCCAAGATGGCCTCTACCCATTCATCAGTGCCTAAGAATGTGTGATGAAGAACTTTTTAAAAGTATTTTTCATTTAAAGTGAACCTCCGACCAAAATAACGATGAAAAATAACCACTAAAAATAAAATAACACAATCATATTTTGCTGCAATATTCTCCTTCAGTCCCAATCATTTTCCCCCCCACAATTTTATCCTCCCACTAGATGTCCTCAGTCTGATGGCCAGGAACATTCAACTTCCTCTGTGCACAGGTCATTCTGGAACCGCCATGCCAGTGATTGGGCAGTAAAAGAGGAAGCAGTGCAATGATGAGATCATCTCTCGGTCACTCTGTTTTCTTTACCTATCGACAGGCTGTTTGTCAGCACCTGAGCTTATTAGCTTCTTGTGCTGCTTCTTCCTCTGATACTCCAGCTTTACTGTACATGGACAGAAAAAGGCTGACACTGCTTACTCTTAAAGGAGAACTATGAGATGAGTGATTCCCACTCACCTCATAGTTCTAGCCGACCTGTGACAATGAGACTGTCACAGGTCGGCTCAGTAGATCGGGAGGTGAGCGAACACATACCAGGTTCGCTCACCTCTCGATCCTGTCATGGCTCTCTGCCGTGACAGGGGGAGGGGCTGGATTCCCCTCTCCCTGCTCCGATCTGCCAGTGCTGACTGGCGGAACGGACGAGGAAGGGGGCGGGTACAGCTGGCTCTGCCTCTAGATAGGCAGAGCCAGCTGTCACTCACGCAGCTGGGCGGATCCCGTCATCTACGTCGGAATCCGCTCCGGCTGCGGCGTCTCAGTATACCGCGAGCTGATACAACCGATCAATAGGAACAAAGAAATATATCCCTGCTATGATACAGGCCACTGACCAACACCTGCGTTTTGAATAGAATAGTTTTCCTTGTTTTCATTACTCTCTCACTCAATATGCATTTTGGAAATGTCCTTGAGATAAAAATGCTTTTTTTGTTCCAAAAATGTTATCCATGGCAACAGGATCACTAGTAACAGCACTTTCCTTTATGTTGCCTGTTGTATATACGTAAATGGGCGCCCTTAAAGCTAACCTGGGGCTATAGAAGACATAGGAAACTGCCATTATTTTTATACAGTAGCCTGTCTGCAGATCACGTTCGATTCCCTGCATGGCACCCATGATACTGCAGTGCTCTCTTATGCAAATAGCAACCAGCTTCTGTGGTTTCTTGGATTTAGCCAGGGACCTCCCAAGTGCTGCACACCACTATTGATCCATCACTGTAATTGTCAGCCTTACTAATCAATAGTATGGCAGGGGATGTGGTGGGTACTGGTTCCTAGTTGCAAGTAGGAGTGATCCGGTATTCAGGGGAACTCTCCAGGAAATGTGCTGTCATGTGAAAGTACCTGGAGGAACCTGCTGCCGAAACTGAATTTTATAGTCACCGGGAAAATTTTAAATGACAGCATGTACAAAAAAGTGAGATCATGTACTGCTGACTTTCTTGCTTAAAAATACTGGTTCCTTGCTTATGTTGACCCTGAGGTTTCAGTACTTTCTGGGTCACTGGATTGGACTTAGTGTGCAGAGAAGCGCTTCTGACTTCAGATGCTGCATACTTGTTCCAGGTCAGTGTCTCTAAGTATTGTAGCCATTTAATGAGCATGAGAGCCAGGCAATTAGAATTTTCAGAAGGAGGGCAGCAATGTCAGCCTAAATATATTTTTCTTCCCACATGTTCCTTTAAAGAACTACGGGCAAACAAAAAAAATCTGGGGTGGAAGGAGGGAAGCCCCACTGCAAGGGTTAAGTGCTTGCTTTGTCTAGGGTACTCAAATAAAGCTGTATTACTCACCTCTGTGATGCTGGACTGGTCCCGGCAGCCTCTTCTTCCCTGGGTTCCAGTGGTCTTAGGACCACTGACATCATCGCATCTTATGCAGGTCTATTGACCTGCATTACACATGAGGATGTCGGGGAACATTCCACCGCCAGAACCAAGGATCAGGTGAGTAATACAGCTTTATTTGAGCCCCCTAGACAAAGTGTGCAGTCATGAGTATGTCGGGGGACATTCCACCGCCAGAACCAAGGAGCTTTGCTTTAATCCCCACCTTCAGCAGCATATACTCCCTACGCTTATCTTTTAAAACTGTTGTCTGTTAATAAGAATGATGTATATATTGAAATTATTTAACAGATGTAGTACACAATACTTACATTACCACTGTCATTGATGATGCCCGAATGATTATTATCAGGAGGACAACAACCGTTAAAAGAAAAGATATCAAAGACACCTGCAGGGAAGTAAAAGTAAGATTTAGTTATTAAAGAAGAACATCGTCTAAAACTGCACTGTAGAATGATTCCATTGCTTTGTCTTGTATGGGTTAATCATAGATGGTTTTATTTTTTTTTCAGTAATTTTTTATCCTATATTGTCCAATTGTTTTCACTTAAATGTTTCTTGAAGTGAAACTTTTTTAAACTCGAGTAATTTAAACTAATGTTCAGCAAAGCAAATTTCCTTTATCTCGCTGATGTTCACAAATAAATCCTCAATATTAACAAAGTAGCAGGCACCCACTACAGTGATCTATAGGGATAAGAATATTTTTAAAGCACACTGCAGCACATCACGTTGGTGAGTACAGGTCTCTCTGACATAAATAGGTTTTGAAAGATCCATGCTATTTGGTTATGTTGCAAAATGCGGCAAACTGCATGGAACCTCATCGCAACTAGGTAAGTCCTTGAGGTATATGAAATAATAGTCACCTGATTTAGCTGTCATCAGAGAGATCTGGGGGACAATCTTATCCATGTCTTCAAGCAAGCCATTAATGGAGTGATGAGTGATAGAATAGATTAGAGATACTCTGAGATACTCTACGCTACACTATAGATTTGGGATATGCAACACTTGGGTCATGACAACAATTGGTGGCTTGGGAGAAAAACCTTTTCTACAACCTCATACCATTACATAGTAACAAGGCTGCCTATTGTGCTTTAGTATTACATCACAGGCAAGCTTAGGGGACAATGCAGAGCCGGCATGCCTATTACTAAGTAATGACACACTGGGAGACTTTTTCCCACTGCTATGTCTATTAGCTCAATAATAATGGGATGGTACTTGAATGTCTGCACCCTACACTCCAGGCAGCATTTCCCCAGTTCCTCTGTTGTAATTGAATGAAGGACACTGGAGGAGGGGCTCTTGGTGCTGGTGCTGCCCCTATAAATACTGTTGTCTTCATGCCATTAAACGTAGCGAGTTGCAATAGAGTATTTTGCTGTGCTACTAGGCATACAACACAATTGTTAGACTAAATTGTCATCCAAAATGTTTAGTTTGTTTAAAACACACTTCTGAGAAATTTAAGCTGGAAATGACAAAAAAGGAGTTTAGGCAGTGGGGAGCTCAGAGAGGAAAAAGTGAGGAGTTTAAAGACACTCCCATAGATTAAGGAAGATCAGATCATGCCTACATGTCCAACATTCATCCAAAATCTACAGTATGGCTAGCTTTATCCTTGGCCTGCTTGTGTCTTATTTTTTTTTTCTTCTGCATTTGCAGCAATCATCAGGAAAATGCCCTCAATTATTATTAGTTACATCTAATACCTTTCCTAATCTTTGCATGTTGCGGTACAGAGCTATGGGAAGAGTCACCACTGCTGTTGTCCCCAGGATAGCCAAACGACGATCAGCAAGTACGCTCTCTGGAGACACTGCCAAGAGAAAAATAAAGGAATATGTGATTCAAAACAGCACAAAGCAGATTCCCTGTATAAATATCCATTTTTTAAAATGTATTGTTATACCATTTACTTTATACAAAAAGAAAACATAAATCATTACCCCAGTGCAGATTTGATCTGCCTAGGTTGGATCTTTCCAGGTTATGAGCACCTCTGTGCAACTTAACCCCACTTCTCTAACTTCTATGGTAAACACAGAGATTGGTTCTCCATAGCTTCTTTGGCTGGGTTATGTGACTTTGATAGCTTGGTGACGGAAAAGGCCAGGGGGGATGCCGAGGCCCCTGCTGCACCCTCACTCACCAGCACAGCACCATGTGCCTTTTCTTCCTTTTCCTTGTCTCGAGCCTGCATGGCACAATGCTACAAAGCAAATGGTGTCCCAGTCACTGAGTGGTTAATAAGGAAGAAACTTATCTAGCCATGAAAAGAGAGGACGAAAAGCACTATATTGTCTGGAATGCCACTCAATCACGGCCCCGTGCCTTTTCTCTTACCCCATTTATTCATAAAAAAAAAACAACCTATTATACCCACTCCTTCAACCATTCCCCTCCCCTCCCCTCCTCCCCTAAATCCAAACTCATTATCAGCTAAATAAGTAATGGTGAAGGGTCAGTTTACTATCCAATCAAGCATAAGTACTAGTATTTTTCATTGGTTATGACTTATTTTTCACCTGTAATTAAGAAGAAATCAAGAAATTTTAGATATGAAATAGCCATATACAGTATGTAGAGGTTATTGATATTATTATGTAATTTATGGAATTGTATGTGAAATGAAACAAATAAAAATGTATTCTTGAAAAAATAAGGAAGAAACTTAGCTGGACCTAAGATGTGTTTCACTGGGTCAGGAAGTGAGGCGTGTTGATGAGTCGCTAGTATGATACATGTCATAAACTGGCCATACACTTAAAGATTTTTCTTGCTCTGCTAAGCAGAAAGAACACTTGATTCCTTTATACACGTAAATAGTGTGTATGGATGAATCTCCTTTGCTTGCTAATGTATTCTGATTGTTGGCACCCACAACTGTCAAAATACCCAAACAGTGCACAGTCACTGCTCAGGTCAACCTTTTTTTCCACGCAGCTCCTTTGATTTCTAATCGAAGTTTGTAGATCCAGGTGGTGCCGGCAGGGTCAACCATGACTTGAATGTCCGGCGATTTACAGGAATGGGCTGAGATTTGAGCCATGTTTGCCCAGCGTTAGTCATTAAGGGGTTAATTCAGGGCCTGTGTGGCCTTTTTAAAAATCCAGCTGGAAGGAGATCCAGAATACACTTAGAAAATGCCGATTTTCTTTAAAAAATAAAAAAACAGAGAGCATACTGCTGTAAAGGCACTCACCTCCAGGGATTCTTTGAAGTATTTTTGGCAAAATGTCTCCAGTTATGATGTTGTAGCTCACCATTGCTGAAAGATATGATCAGGTGTCATGCTTGTACAGTATATATAATTCAGACATTATCTATCTATCTATCTATCTATCTATCTATCTATCTATCTATCTATCTATCTATCTATTTCTTAAATTTGCACAACACTTTATAAGCGTGGTTCAGAATTTTACCATGAACAATGATTCATATAGTTAGATAATGAGCTCGGAGGGCTGCTGAATTATCACTTTTTGATTTTCCTAAACATTTGCATGTCATCAATATGTCAGATCTGCAGAGAATCACACAATGTGAAAATCCAGGCATTCATGAATTGTATGATTTCCTGCAAAAAGAGCAAAGCTGGGGTTTGCAAGAGAGCTGTGACAGCAGAGAGGGAGTGACAAAGCGCTTACACTGGTCTCTAAGCACAGGTACTCTGGATATAATAGCAAAAGGAATAGCAAGGATCGCTTTAAATGGGAAGAATATAGCAGCCTGAGATTTTCTATAATGCATCATTTTGATGAAATGCACTGAAGAGGAGATAAAGTCAGAATGAACAGGCTGCATATATCTAATCTAGCTCACCCAATGTTGGATGTTTTCTGCATAGGTTACTGTGTACAAGAGGAACCAGCTAGAGATACACACATTTGTGACAACAGTGTTAACTCTTACCAATGGCTCACAACTGATGTTCCAGTTCATCAAAGGTGTTGATAGGGTTCAGGGTTTTGTGCAGGGCACTGGAGTTCCTCTACATCAAACTAGTCAAGCTGTATTTTTATGGAGCTGGCTTTGGCACAGTGGCCCAGTCATGCTTAAACAGAACATAACTTTCCCTAAACTGTCGCCACAAGGTTGTAAGCGCACAGTTGTCACAGAAGTAGGCAACCTTGGGAATTCTACCTATTGTGGAACTACAAGTCCCATGGAGCATTGCAAGTCTCAGACAGCTACAGGCATGAGTCCCAGGGATTTGTAGTTTAACAACAGCTGGAGTTGTAGTCTTGGTCTAAAATGTCTTTGTATGTTGTAGAATTACCAGTACCTTCCCTGGAATCCTCTGAACTTAGTAATTTGGTTTTGGAATGGGATGGCCAACAAGATAAAAAAGGTGATAATGAGTCCACAAAAGTCTGGCTATATAATATAATTGTTGCTAAATCTACAAGATATGCTACAATCAGGTTGTAATGTGTGTCAAGCTTTAAACTAGGGGTGCACCAATACGTAATCTAGTATCGGTATCGGTGCTGTTACCGAGTATTTGGGCGAGTACTCGTACTCGCTCAAATGCTCTGATACCTTCCCCGAGGAGGAAGATTTCTTCTGATCGGCAATGCCGTAGGGAAACATGGAGCAGGCTTCCCAGGCAATCAGGAAGCCGGGTGGCGGGTAATGACTCGCCTCCTGGCTTCCTGAAGCCGCCTCCATGCTGATTTGCTGGGAAGCCTGCTTCCTGGTCAGCATTGAGCCAGCTAAACAGCTGCTCCAGTGCCACCTCTTTGCCTGACGACATGGGGCCATTTCTACTGGAGGAGCGGCGCTGTCACTGCGCATTACACAAGATGCACGGCGCCTTGTCAGGAGGTGGCATAAGGACAGATCCCAGAGCGGACAGCCGGTCACGTCTGAGCCCGGAATTTCGTCTGCTCCTAGCTGGATTAAAAGCATGGTATGAAGGGCCAATCCCGAGATGGCAGCTTTGTTCTAGCCGCAGGGTTTGCTGCACTCCATATGGTCGGAGTCATATTTAATGGTCTGCAGACTGCCCTTGGCATCGTTAAAGGGGAACTCTAGCACTTCTTTAACCAGCCAATGTCCTGAGTTGTAGGCGTCATGTGATTTTCACATTTTAACAACCAGCTCCTTGCTGATTGGCTGGGAAGTCGGCTTTCCAGTCAATCAGCATGGAGCCGGTTTCCCGGCCAATCAGGAATCCGGGAGGTGGGTCATTACTCGCCGCCCAATCGAGCCTGCCAAACAACATGGAGCATGGCGGCATGTCATTACTCGATGCCAGCAGAAGCACCGGCATCGGTACTCGGTATCGGCGAGTACCGAAAGCAAAATATCACTACTCGTACTCAATACCGAAAAACTGGTAACGGTGCATCACTATTTAAAACTATAATGATAACTGTGGGGAAGAAGTGGAGCCATGAACTTGAGCAAGGAGATGAGGTCACCCAAAATCCACAGGGAAATAAATTGATTGTACCTGCAAAGGGATATAAAAACTGTAATGCTGATACAGCCATGTATCCGGGAAAACCAAACGTCCTGCTGACAAGAGACTGATATGTACTAGTGCCGGACATTTCTCCACTTTTAATCAGCAGTATCATAGAATAGTCTATAGAAAGAGATTACAGAGCATGACATATGACATAAAGTGAACTGTGACAAGTACAGCAAAAAATAAATAAGCAAATAACAGACACATGTAGAGAAAAATACTGAGCATGTTAAATATTTTGTCTGATCATGTTACTAGAATCACATCCTCAATAATAAAGGGTAAGAAGCTCTGTCAGATTATAAAAAAATATCAAAACATTCAAAAACTCAAATCATTGACACCCCGTTAAGGAGAAAGTGTAAAGTAGCCTCCGCTCCTAGCTTAGTCCCGTTATGGACTACAATCTCATGTTTAGTTTACTAATTTGTATTGAGATTGTAGTCCATCTAGCGGTGACTTCTTTACAACACACACAGGGACCATGGAGAACAAAATTAGCCACCCTCCAAAAGGAAGGACATTGACAGCAGCAACTCACATATGATTTGAGGATCTACAGCTGATACACAAATAAGATACATTTTTGTTAATAGTTAAGGTACATGAATATATTTTTATGATCTAACTTCTGAGTTTAGTGTGACTTTTAAATAGCCATGTACAGTAGTTTAGCTATAAAAGGAAAGAAAGCTCAAATATGACCTCTGGTGGATAAATTGAAGAATTACAGATAGACCTCAATGGACACCATTAAACTAGCCTTTGAAGTGAACCTTTGAGAACACTGCAGAAACCTCAGGACTGTCACTGCTTTGATGATTTAATGATGTGCGCTTCAAAGCTGAAGTCTTGATCCTGGCATCTTTACCCAGTGCATCTCAAAGCGGACCTTTACCCATATCTTTAAAATAACAACAAACACACCTTTAGAAGTGTTTAGTAATGACAATCTACAAATAGATACTTCTAGATAATTGTCGGCTTGGTATTCTTTGCATACCTTATTTCTCTTTTCTCCCCCAGTCTTCTCACAGTGGCCACGTTTACTGAGGGCAGATTACTAGCTCTTCTATTAGTTCCTGGATTTCTGGCACCTGTGACTAGAACATGTGACCATGCACATCATCTCAGGGGAGGAAAATGCCTTTCCCTCAGATCTCGTGAGATTACATATGAGGTTTTCCAGCAATGCTCTGCTGATGACAAGGCAATCCCAGTGTGCATTGCATTGGCAAACTGAAGTCTTTTTGCCCTTTCAAAGCAGGGGGTGAATGCTCTGCAAGTGTAAGTATTTCACAATCACAGCATTTTGCACCTGACATGTTCATCTGAGAGTTCAGTTTGTGCCAGATAGCCAGTCCTCTGTTAAGCCACATGTGATGTAGTGGCCCAAAGAAGGACTGGCTATTTAACACACACTGAAGTATCAGAATCGGTGAATATTTCATTTACTGCTTACTGGAAAGGGGGGCATGATACATATTCTTTTATAGGGTGCCTCTTATTTCAAGTTAGTAATGTAGCAGCAGGGCCGCTTTAAGGAAAACTGAGACTAGCATAGAAACCGCAGACCTTTAAAACATCTATGATTATTGAAGTCTGGCTTGAGATTGACCAGACATTAATTAAAACACTTTCAACAATATAACAATTCTTGTTTTCTGGGCCCTTGTGTCTGCAGTTTGCCCCTTGGGGATTTACGAATGGGAAAAAGTGTAGATATGTTCCACTAACTCATTTACAGCAGGATCATTTCTCCGAGATATTTCCGTGGTATGACATAGAGCATCTTTGCCCCAGAGCAAAACAGGACCCGATAACAGTTGTGTGTCCATTTTACTGTACAGATGACAGTGCAGAACAGCATGGTAATCTAGAATATAATTATCGAGACATTCTGAGAATAGAAGTGGACCTGAGTTCAAAAAGTGAAGATTTGCTATGGAACTGGGAACATCTAGAAATATTAATTGTGACACAAAATTTACCCTGAAGGATCTACATTTTATTGTGAACTCCTCCTTAAAGTGCAACTGAAGCCAAAACTTTTTTTTTTTAGTTTCAGGGTGGGGAGGGATTAGTCACTTGTCATGTTTTTATTGCTGTCTGTGTCCCTGTTAAGGTGCCCATACACCTTACGATTATCGTACGATAATCGTATGCGATCGACTTTTCGTACGACAATCGTAACGTGTGAATAGAGTGCCCGACCGATAGTACTGTACAATCGTACGACTTTTGACGGTCAAGCATGTTTGAAAACTTTGGTTGATCGTACGATGTTCGCATGGTTGGTGGCGTTTCCGTCCGTCAAAAGTCGTACGATTAACACTGCGCATGCGCAAACGAAAATAATTGCGGTCAATTACCGCAAGTCGTCCAGGTGTTTTTTTCTAACTACCGCTGATTGAACCTTGCGATAATCGGGGCAGGATGGGGCCGTCGTACGAAAATCGTACGACGGTTCGATCATCGGACGAAAAGTTTTGTCCGATAATCGTAAGGTGTATGGGCACCTTTAGGGAGATTCGCCCTCTCTATTTTTCCTGGTGACCGTTATCAGTGAAAGTAAAATAAGATCCCAGTTTTTGGGTTGTCACCAGAACAGGAAAAGATGGGAAATCTTCCAATGCAGGCACCAGTTTTTAGCATTTGTCCCTCAAGCCCTATACCTGTATATCTGCAGTTTGAGGTCATCTAAAGCAATCGCCTGTGAATGCTAGTCTCATGAGATTTGAAACATGATATGATGTCACTACTGTGCTGCTTGTTATTCACATTATTCTCTTGCTGGAGAGGAAGCTGTTCCTGATGACCTGCTGTGCATGGATCTCCCTGGATTGGTTTCATCCATTCTGTGAATCTGTACTTCATGCACCTCTCTTGCTGCTTCCTAAATATCCCCTCACTAGTCAGATCATCAGTGTTCATGGGGATGGCTCTGACATCAGGAAGAAAAGTCCTGCCACGGTGACCATGCCCAGACACGGTGCAGAACTGGGGAAAAGATCAGCTGCAGGGAGACCACAAGCAATACTGGTGACTAGTTCTTTGCAAGCCCTTTACTTGCATTTTTGGTCACAGCTTCTTGAGTTCATGGTCATGGTCACCGGCAGTAACCCAAAACTACCAAAGATATTTTTTTTACACATCTGACTCTAATAAACTCCAGTGTGATTTGATGGAGTTGGTTCCTGCTCTTTAACATTGCTCTTTACAGTACCTTTCCAAAATAAGTTTAATTTTATATGATCTGTGCTGGGATCACATAATTGTTTTTTTGCTTTATTAAAGTATAATATATAATCGTGCATCACATTCTTAGCAAGCAACTTGCTACAGCAGGCTGCTTCCCATACAAGTATGTCATCACAACTCTCAAGGACTCACTTCAGCAAAGCTGATACCTTAGAAATGTTTGATGTCATGTTAGATTAACTGTTGACAGTAAAGGTAAAACTTGCTTATGTTTAAGTTTGTTATATATTTCTGGATCTACTGATGTTTTTGACATTGGGTTTTCACTGAAGATAGCCTTTCTGAATATGTTTTTTATCATATGTATAAAATGATCTGCTCAAGTTTCCCATGGGTAATCCAGCCAGCTTCATAGAGTATGGCAGTCCTAGCAGCAAAATGGCATAGAAAGTAGTGAGTCCGGAAATCATGGATTAGAAATAGGTTTAACTGATAACACTGTGCATAAAAGCATTTCTGGGCATTAAGTCATAGCAGCCAATACAAATTAAAAGATAACTGTACAAGTCTTAGATTTACCTGTCCAGATCTTCACTGTGTAGCCCACTGGAAGCCACACAGCCACCATTGCAAAGGTTCCTCATGGAAATGAATAGAGATGTTGCAGAAGAAAATGTGCAGCCTGCAGAATTTGCTCCACGTGGGCCACACACCAAGATATTGTAAGTGGCCTATTCGGAGGTAAGTATAAGACTTATGATGTAAATGAGCCCTTAGCCCCCATTCACACTTGTGAAGTGTGACATCACGTTTATTTAATGAATGGCTTTGCATATATAGTATGTTACACATAGGGCAACTCATTTATTTCTCTGGGCTGCCCTTCAACACAAATGTTGCAAAAAAACTCACACACCTTTTGTAAGCTTTGAGCTTTGTATAATTTTTAGCCACACAATTTACACGTGTCCTGCTTGATGTTTTTGGGGTACCTTTAGCAATGAATGGCACCACAACAAATGTTTTCCACGTGTTTTGTTGATGCATGCAAAATTTTGTGATTTTGTGCATGTTCACATTCTACACCAGTGTGAATAGGAGCCCAGTCTACAGGGCTGTGATGCTGCTTTAAGTGTGGCAGCTGATAAGGTTTTATTTAATTGTTTTAATGACCCAGTGAAATATAAGCCTAATCTATAAAATGATGTTACAGTTCTATATTTAAAAATAGCTCTCATCTGAGCAAGCCATAAATATAAGGACAATCAGGACAGGGGAAGTGTGGCTTGATCGTTATCTTGCTGGTGACAATAGAGCCATTATGCAGCATTTAGAGAGTGTTATGTATTTTTACTGCTGGCTGTTTCTTGCTGTTGGCGGTATGTACAGCTGCTCAACTCCACAATGATAAATCCTCTCTGTGCATACAGTCTTACCTATCATTCCAGTGCCGAGGATGGCATTGATCATGTTAAATCCTGCCCAGAACACATTGCGAGTAAGCTTATTGTCCTTTTTATCCTCTTCAACAAGTAATTCTGTATCATTTATATCAATCTAAGAAAAACAAAGGTGACAATTATAATATTAGTACATACAGTAGGAGATACAGTAGTATACATTCAATAGAGGAGGAATTAAGGACTATATAAATGTTGTTTATATAGTTCATAGAACTGCAAAATTATATTTTGAATATGAATGAAAAGCACACAACAAAAATGTGCTAAAAAAAGCATGAACATGCAGATGCACAAATGTGAAAGGAGACTGAGACTCTAAAAGTTTCTGTCTGCAGCTAGAAGTAGTTCACATTCAACTGGACATGTTGTGTAATGTTGAAGACGTTTCATGGCTTCTCCAAGACACATTTTCACTTCCAATGAGTGTCAGCACCAAAGCTGTATTTCTAATCTGCATTAGGGTTGCCACCTGTTCTTCAAATCGAAACCCGAACACTCTAGCGCCATGCTACAAATTTTTGGGTGAGAATATACAGGAGAGAGCAGGGAGAGACAGCCAGGAGAGAAAGAGTGAGGAGAGACCACCACGGGACAGATTGAAGAAAGACAGCCAGGAGAAAGTGAGGAGAGACAGCCAGGAGAGAGAGCAAGGAAAGACAGCCAGGAGAGAGAGCAAGTAGAGACAGCCAGGAGAGAGAGCAAGGAAAGACATCCAGGAGAGAGAGAGAGAGCAAGGAAAGACATCCAGGAGAGAGAGAGAGAGCAAGTAGAGCCGGGGAAGAGTGCTAGGAAAGACAGACATAGAAGAGAGCTAGGAAAGACAGCCAGGAGAGAGAGCAAGTAGAGACAGCCAAGAGAGAGAACACGGAAAGACATCCAGGAGAGAGAGAGAGCAAGTAGAGCCGGGGAAGAGAGCTAGGAAAGACAGACATAGAAGAGAGCTAGGAAAGACAGCCAGGGGAGAGAGCGAGGAGAGACAGCCAGGAAAGACAGCCAGGGGAGAGAGCGAGGAAAGACAGCCAGGAGAGAGAGAGTGGGGAAAGACAGCCAGGGGAGAGAGCTAGGAAAGACAGCAGGGGAGAGAGCGAGGAGAGACAGCCAGAGGAGAGATCTAGGAAAGACAGCCAGAGGAGAGAGCGAGGAAAGACAGCCAGGGAGAGAGCAAGTAGAGACAGCTAGGGGAGAGCGAGGAGAGACAGCCAGGAGAGACAGCCAGGAGAGAGAGCAAGGAAAGACAACCAGGAGAGAGAGCAAGGAGAGTCAACCAGAAAAGAGAGAGAGGGGAGAAAGCCAGTAGAGAGAGCGAAGAGAGACACCCAGGGGAGTGAGAGAAAGACAGCCAGGAGAGAGAGGCAAGACAGCCAGGGGAGAGAGGCAAGACAGCCAGGGGAGAGAGGCAAGACAGCCAGGAGAGAGAGAGGAGAGACAGCCAGGATAGAGAGAGGAGAGACAGCCAGAAGGGACAGAGAGGAGAGACAGCCAGGAGAGAGAGTAAGGAGAGATAGCGAGGAGTGACATCTTGTGTCCCTGATTCAGGGCCATACACTGCAGATCTTGGTAAATAGGCCAAATGACACAGTGTCTGAAAAAGTCACACATTGTTTGCTGAGATCCATGTTTCTTTGGCATGAGGAGCATTAAGGGCGTTATGAAAAAACACTCACACTGGTTCGTCCTGCACCCCCCAAAATCCTGGCTCTGTGTGTATAAACTTAGCATTGCACATGCAGTAAATTGTAGTGTATGTGTAAGATGGAATGATAGAGATATTGGAAATGTTGTATGAACCGTCAGAGCCTAGTCACAGCGGAGGTCTACACCGGTACTGTGCATGAAGCGCGGCTCTATATGAGCAGGAACACCAGGATCCCATGGATGCACCTGTCCGCCTGACATCGTGACATCTTGCGGGGGTTTCAGCTGGCCTGAAACATGAACACAGCAGATACAGGACTCAAAACCCGGACTGCCCGGGTGAATCCCAGACAGGTGGCAACCCTAATCTGTATTCCGCATTGATCACCTTTAACACTGCTCCATCTTAGTAAAAGTCTATGGAGCGGATTCATTAAAGCGTTTAATCTGCTTCTATTTTGTCTTTCCTGGTTCCTTCTTTCCCATCTCATCAACATAATTCATTTATTAAATACAACCTTTTTGTTTTCAAGACATACCTTACGTAAGACCCAGTGACATCATCACTAGATCTCTTTGCTTCTCTAAACAATGCATACATATCATGGCTGCTGGGAAGGGCCAGCAGGATGCTGTATATAGCTTCTTGAAAACAGCTAGCTGTAGTAATGCCCACTTCTGAAGCTGAGCATCCATGATTAAAAGAACTGAAATCCAATGAATAAAATGGGCGGGCAAGGGACAGTCAGGTTGGTGAGGAAAGTGATAGATGATGGTGGATGTCCTCCAGCCAGAAAATGTGGCAGGCTCTAAATGACTTGCTGCAGCTTTTAATGCACAGTGTAAGATGCTCAGAGTGTGCAGGGAAATCAGAGTAAGCAGTTTCAGTATAGTAGAGAAGCCAGTACAGCTGTGCATGATGGAAAGTAAGGCTAAAGATCAGTTGTAAGAATGTTCTTTTATCTTAGTGAATAAAGCTGGGTATACACGGGCTTCAACCTGCAGGCTGAATGCAGAAAATATAACAGTTTCCTCCATCCACAGCGTGGATGGAAAAATGCCCTGCTGCGGCCACTGTCAGAATACCTAAATGGAGCTTGCAGATGCTGATTGATTGCAAGCTCAATTTGGCCAAAGATTTTCCAACCTGCTCCTTTGATCAGCATATCAAGGGATGTCGGGCGGGTGGGTGCCGACAGGGGCAACTACTGTGCAAATTTAGTTTGGTTCATCAAGAACTGGGCAAAATTTGCACATTGTATAGCCTACTTTAGTGTCAGGAAACTGCAGTGCACCTATATTACCTTCAGGTGGCAACGTACTCCTGTGGTTGTCACCCTGTAATTCCTGTGGCCACCAGTAGGTGTTTCCCAGCAGATATTAGACTTGCGTTGCTAATGAAAACCTGACCTTGGCTGCTTGAGGACTATTCAACTTCACATGGCCCTGTTGCCAGAGCCATAGCCTCCTGCCCGTTTTCCTGACTGGTTCTGCTTCCTGTTACCTTGAATCAGCCTTTTCCAGTGCAATCCTGTTCAGCCCTCCCTTACTCTCTTTCCTGCTCTGCTTATTTGTCCTGCCTTTGTACCGACCGTAGTTGTTTATAATTTCACTTCCCAGTTTGTATATTTGTTGCACCAGATTATTTGTGTTATCTCTTTGCTTGTTGTATTATATTTGCTTGTTTATTATGTTTATGTTTCATCATTCTTTGTTTTCATTGTTCCCAATAAACACACCCATTGTCCACACAATGTAGTCACTGGACTTCCTGGGTGCTGCATACAATTCTGGTCTTATCAGAAGTGACGGAATTCCAGGCTGGGTACCTTGACAGAAGTAAAACTGTGTTCACATCAATCATTTAATTAGTGCAAGGCCCACTTATGTGATCCCTGCACTTGATTAGTTATCCAAAGTGAATACAGCTCCTATATTTAAAAAGTGAATAATCCCTAATTTTGTAGTAAATCAACTTGACTCAATTTAGAATAATTGAAATAAAATACTCCCTAGTGGGCTTACCCTGTAGTCTCAGCACTTTTTTTTGTAACATATATTATGACTACACTGCCATATATACAGATAAACTCCAAATGTGGGTTCTTAAGGTATGTTTTGACTTTAGATAGTAGGGATGCCCCCATACCGGTTTTTCGGTATCGAGTACGAATAGTGATATTTATCTTTCGGCACTCGCCGATACCGAGTCCCGATACCGGTACTTCTGCTAGCATGGAGCCGGCTTCCCGGCCAATCAGGAAGCTGGGCAAGTCATTACCCTGATTGGCCGGGAAGCCAGCTCCATGTTCCCTCTCGGCACTGCCGGTCAGTGGAAATCTCCCGCTGACCGGAAGTTCGGATATCAAGGGTAAGTATTGGAGCATTACTAGTGGCGGTATCGGTGCATCCCTATTAGGTTTGTTCCCACCTGCATTTTCGGTAGTTATGGATCCTGAAAATTACACTGAAAGAACTTTTATCATTAATTTAAGATACAACTCCAGGAATTTTTCGAAAACTACCCTGGCGGTGGGGTTGAAAACTACCCTGGCAATGCAAGAGTTAAATGTTGTTAAGTCTAAGGGTAGAGAGATAAGGTGTAATACTTACCTCATTCTTTGCCCAGACAGGTTCTGATGCTCTCCCCTACATTCCGGGTTGTGCATGGTCACTATTGGTCCTGCATTGTACTTGATGATGTCAGCATGAAACCACTGGCTAGAATGCCTTAGAGAAGAGGTTTAGGGGGACTGGTGGCACAGATGGGCGGAGTCAGCCAGAGGGAGGAATAAGGTACGTATTACACCTTTTCCCCCTACTAGTAGACTTACCAAGCATTTAACCCTTGCAGTTCGGGGGCCCCACTGCAAGGGTAGTTTTTTTTTTCTTCAATTCCTGCTGCTGATTTTTAAATCAC